AGTGCCCAGGTGAGGTACTAATATATTTGGCTACAAGATCAAGAAAATCCCAGAGGAAGACCTCCATATATGTCCCCCTTCACACTATCTACATGACTTTCGATATGAAATAGGTACTGGGTGCGCTCGTATGGTTCTCCCACTATTGGTATTGTGTGATAAATATGTTGATATCAAGTTGATACTGATTTATAAGGTCTACGGTTTGTTTTCTTAGTGGCCCCAGAGCCCAAGTCACCATGGTTACCCAGACCCGCATTATCTACAAGACCATGCTAAACAGGTGAAAACGTGGGGCTCCTGGATGGATCAAGTGCACGGCTACGGAAGTCAAGCCGATAATGTGGTCTGGGAAACTAAAAGTAATCAGCATCCATAGCAAAATATTGTACACATTTTCTAGAACCTCTGCAACAAATACTTACAAGTTGATTGGGATCTGTTCTTGAGGTTTTGCATGATAAGTCCTGAAACTAATGAAAAATGACAATATTTATTCCTGTTTGATGCCATTAGCAGAATATGGAACTGACTGATATATATCTCTGACATAATTATTTGTTGTTAAATATGTCATGCTTACCCAAATTCTCAAAATTATATTTGCCATCACTTCGTCCGGCGTAATGAATGTGTGTTTATGCCATAACTAATTTGAGGACAGGAGCTAAAGTTGTTCCAAGTCGTGATGGCAACCTTTGCTGTATTTACTTTCTAACTATAAGGACATGTCAATTTATAGATATATAAATGTTAGAGGAATTGCCCATTTTTTAAAATCTTGACGCATTCGGATATCATTGTCCATTATTTTGTCCTGAACAGGCTTGTTCTGGCCAAGCTGGATAGATAAGTCTCACCATCAAGACAAATTCCCCAACAACCTCGACGCAGCAGGAGAGTTTGTGTCACTGATGGTGCAGAGCGCCAAGGACTACTCGGGAGGGCACATACCTCAAATATTTGAGGTCATCAACGAACCTGAAGGAGAACACTTTATTGATGAACAAACTCTTCTGGATTTGCATAAGATAGTAGCACAGAAGCTGAAATCCAGGTTTGGAATAAAGGTTGGAGGACCAACCTACACTGGTTATACCATACTTAATTCTGGTCTTCACAATTATGCCACGTGGCAGAGAACTGCCAGGTTCATGGATATGTCGCTTGATCACTTGGACTTTTTCTCTTTCCACGCCTACAACTATATCTATGTATCTGGTGAAAGTCATCACTTTAGTGGCATCAACGAGGCTCGTCTGGTTGCTGGTATTGACATGATAGAAAACTATTCTCATCAAAAGAAAGGTAGGAATGTTCCAATCATTATCAGCGAGTATGGCAGAGGTGGCACACACGGAATAGATCAGTGGGCACACAGTGGGTTCCTTGACTTTCAGACCATTTACCAACCCAATGGCTTCATGTTTACCTACCTGAACCTGAGAGAGTTCATTGACAGGGCAATAGTTTTCATTCTTGCCAACGAACAATACACCGGCCACACCAGCCTCAACTGGTCCTTGTTTACTAAAGATGGTCATCCGACGCAAATGGTCAAATTCTTCCAGTTTTGGCATAATTTCAATTATGATCAGAAATTCCTCAAATTCGGAAGTCAGTTCACCGGCAGTGAAAGAGTAGTGTCCCCTCTAGCTCTAGCCAATCCTACAAACAAAGAGTTGGTGGTTCTTCTGCACAACTATGGCACTGCCTGGCAGAATGTAAAGTTAGACTTCCACGGTGGTTGGATTAACCCTACAACTGGTGAATCAACATGTATCAAGTACGAAAACGGTAACCCAGCAATGCACTCCAATGTCCACTTTGATACCACAAAGAACCATGGAAATGTCGGTCTACCTGGAGAGTCAACTTGTTTCTACAAGTTTAAAACCAACTACAACTTTGGAAGCCTCCGTACCAGCAACGAGAACACCTACTACGGCAACAACATGGTCATTCCCATCAGCAACGGTCATGCGCAGACAACCATACATCTACCCAGTTCTGGCTACCATACATCTCATCTTAGATTGGGCGTTAGTCGTGACAAAAACGCCAATGCAAAGCCAGTGAGCGTCGTGTTTAATGGACATACCTTGCCTTCTACCTACGCACTGTTTGACGCTGACAAGATTGAAGCGTCCTCAAAATGGCAGGTGTGGGAATACTTGGTTCCTACAGACCAGGTCAAGTCAAATAACACCATCAGCATGACCTTTGCTGGAAATGGTGGCCATGTGACCGCAGTAGCTCTGGTTGTAGGGAAACTTCAATAAACAGCATCAAGATCCAGACTTTGCTCTTTATTTTTAATTGAAAAATTTATTCGTTTCCTTGTGAACTACACTAAGATCGTCTTAGAATATGTGGAAAAAAGATGATATTGAGTTGGATTCGACGCTTCTTTAAACAACACTTATCCCATGTTGTGGCATTTTCCGCTTCCCCAGACAGCATTACGACGTTGTCCCAACCACAATGCACTCAGCAATATTCCAGCTATATTACGGCGGTCTGTAAATAATCGAGTCTGGATCAGACAATCCAGTGATCATATGAGCAACGATCTACGCAATTGGGACACAATGACATGCCTCACCATCCAAGCCGTAGCCTTTTTCGACATGCATCGTCGTGATATTGTTAGACTGACTTTGTGTGCTGGCGATAAGGTGTCTCACTGTGGTAGTGTGGGTTCGAATCCCCGACGGGGCTCAACTCAAAAGGTACGAGAATCTATATTTTACTAAGAAAGTTTTATCCCAAATATAACATTTGTTACATTTGACCACTTTCTATATGGCATTGTGTGTTCACATACATAGGTACCCTACCAAAGGAGAGAGTGCATTTCAGTGACCTGCACTTTTCATGGATACAGTTCAAATAGCAAGTCAACTGGAACATCTGACTGTTAGCTGGGTTGGTGAAACCAATGAGAACGAATAATGCACTGACAAAACAGTAATCATAAATGGGGTATCACAGAACCTGGACTAATAAAGAACACACACTGTGTTAACATTTTGCTGTTGCGTGTTCAATACTCGTACACAGTAGGTACACTTATCCACGAGTATTTGCATGTTATTTGCATGACTCGCCCCCCACCTCAACGTATGGTACATGCAAAATATAAGGGAATTCCCTACTCTACGACAAGGACAAATACTGCTTTACTTACTTGATATTACCGGCCATAAACACTCTAACATTCTCAACCCTCTATTTCAACACGATAATGTTAGTCGTCACAAGACAGGACTCGCAACAGTGATTGAGTGAGTATAGTTTTACGCCGCTTTTAGCAATATTCCATCAATATCACTGCGGGGATACCAGAATTGGGCTTCACACATTGTACCCATGTCGCGAATATAATCCTGGTCTTTGGCGTGATGAACAGACGCTTTAACCACCAGACAACCCGACCGCCCCGGACTTGCAATGGCCTACCTTCGCAACAGCAACATTCAGGTCTTGCCCAGGGCTTCTCAACCACCAGATGTGAGCCCCAGTAGAACATTGATTGGATGAGTTGGATAGACAACTGCCATAACTGACACTGCAGGCAGACTGCCACAGCTGACACTGACACTACAGGAAGACTGCCACAGCTGACACTGACACTACAGGCAGACTGCCACAGCTTACACTGACACCACAGGTAGACTGCCACAGCTGACACTGACACTGCAGGCAGACTGCCACAGCTGACACTGACACTACAGGCAGACTGCCACAGCTGACACTGACACTGCAGGCAGACTGCCAAAGCTGACACTGACACTGCAGGCAGACTGCCACAGCTTACACTGACACTGCAGGCAGACTGCTACAGCTGACACTGACACTACAGGCAGACTGCCACAGCTGACACTGACACTACAGGCAGACTGCCACAGCTGACACTGACACTGCAGGCAGACTGCTACAGCTGACACTGACACTACAGGCAGACTGCCACAGCTGACACTGACACTACAGGGAGACTGCCACAGCTGGCTTTGGCACTACAGGGAGACTGCCACAGGTGACATTGGCACTACAGGGAGCCTGCCACAGCTGGCTTTGGCACTACAGGCAGACTGCCACAGCTGACACTGACACAACAGGCAGACTGCCACAGCTGACACTGACACTGCAGGCAGACTGCCACAGCCGACACTGACACTACAGGCAGACTGCCACAGCCGACACTGACACTACAGGCAGACTGCCACAGCTGGCTTTTGCACTACAGGGAGACTGCCACAGCTGACATTGGCACTACAGGGAGCCTGCCACAGCTGGCTTTGGCACTACAGGCAGACTGCCACAGCTGACACTGACACTACAGGCAGACTGCCACCGCTGACACTGACACTGCAGGCAGACTGCCACAGCTGGTTTTGGCACTACAGACAGAGGGTCCACCGTTCTTCAAGGTCTGATTCGTAACCTAATTGCTTCCTTGGGCAGGAAAAGTCAAGCAGTCCTTGACTCGCAGGATTGGCACACACGATACTGACTGCAGCTGGCCTTGACCCTCTGACGTGTCATGTCTACATCAGCGACTAGTGTCCACTGTGGTAACATGTGGCATATGTGAACACTCAGCTGCCTTCTGTTGAGTGTTTTAGATACAATCATCTCCATCTACAGTATGGTACTCTCGCAGCGTGGAAGTTGTGAAGTTGAAAGATGGAACCAACATTAGGACAGGAGATTGGCTGAAAACTGAAAGAGCATCTGTTGCAAATGTATGTATGAGGTATAAAATTATTGGAAATGAGGGAATATATGAAAGAAGTCGATAATGGAACAATTTAACGTTTGTATTACACCAACGGTGATCTAATTTTAGTTTTGATAGTCGAAGACTTCTTTTAAAGGCCATAAAACCAATCCTACCCACGGAGATTATGTGACCCTGAGCTAATAACGGCACACCTGACACATGGTCCTGTTCACACCAAGCAATAGATAACACTTTGTATATAAAAACACGAATGTGAAAATAAACCCAATTGGAACATGTGTATCAGTTATACCATTCACTGCAGAATGTTACTGCTGGCAGTGTGTACATTGTTGCTGTGGGGAGCGGCGTACTCTGATACAACCGTCACAATCTACAACGAATGGCTCTCCCAGGGTGGACGTGTCCATTATGAAGTTGACAGATGGAACAAACATAACGGACTCGACCATCCGAATCTAATTCCAAAGTGTAAATCTATCGGAACCGCAACAGGGCGCTGGATGAACAGAGACCTGAACGACCATCTCTTTGCAAATGTACGTATGGTTGTCAGGAGAGACACAACGAAACATGTGTCTATATATTCAACGTCATATCAGATGCAGGATATCTCCGCTACTTTGTTGTCACTACACGTTTATATCATCATAAAGTCTTGCAAATCAAAGAAAATGGTTATCCCAGAGTAATGTATTCCATGCAAAGTTGTGTTTTGGACCTTTAGTTTGCTGTGTTTAGGCGACTTTTCAGCCTAGTAACGTATCGATAAAGTTTGTAGTTTCTTGGTGAAATCCAATTGTCAAATGTATGCTTTCTTTTGCCCTTTAGTTTGAGGTGTTTAGGCAACTATTTTCAGCCTAGTAACGTATCTATAAAGTTTGTAGTTTCTTGGTGAAATCCAATTTTCAAATGTATGCTTTCTTTTGCCCTTTGGTTTGCAGTGTTTAGGCAACTATTTTCAGCCTAGTAACGTATCTATAAAGTTTGTAGTTTCTTGGTGAAATCCAATTTTCAAATGTATGCTTTCTTTTGCCCTTTAGTTTGAGGTGTTTAGGCAACTATTTTCAGCCTAGTAACGTATCTATAAAGTTTGTAGTTTCTTGGTGAAATCCAATTTTCAAATATATGCTTTCTTTTGCCCTTTGGTTTGCAGTGTTTAGGCGACTATTTTCATCCTAGTTACGTATCTATAAAGTTTTAATTTCTTGGTGAAATCCAATGTTGAAATGAATGCTTTCTTTTGCCCTTTAGTTTGAGGTGTTTAGGCAGCTATTTTCAGCCTAGTAACGTATCTATAAAGTTTTAATTTCTTGGTGAAATCCAATGTTGAAATGAATGCTTTCTTTTGCCCTTTAGTTTGAGGTGTTTAGGCAGCTATTTTCATCCTAGTTACGTATCTATAAAGTTTTAATTTCTTGGTGAAATCCAATGTTGAAATGTATGCTTTCTTTTGCCCTTTAGTTTGAGGTGTTTAGGCAGCTATTTTCAGCCTAGTAACGTATCGATGAAGTTTGTAATTTCTTGGTGAAATCCAATTTTCAAATGTATGCCTTCTCTTGCCCATCAGTTTACATCATTTAATTCATCTTGGCCGGTCTGCAACTCAATCGTTGCTCACACTTTGCATACACACAATCCCAAGAAGTGACCCGTATAGATTCCGGGGTAGAATAGGTCTTCAGCAACCCATGCTTGCCGTAAAAGGCGACTACAGTTGTCGTAAGAGGCGACTAACGGTATCAGGTGGTCAGGCTCACTGACTTCGTTGATGCATGTCATCGATCCCAATTGCGTGGATCGATGCTCATGATATTAATCACTGGATTGTCTGGTCCAGACTCGATTATTTACAGACCGCCGTCATATAGCTGGAATATTGCTGAGTGCGGCGATAAACAACAAACCAACAACAACAACAATCCCAAGAAGTAATACTGGTTTGTGGTCATATCATATTATCACTCATTTGTAGGTTTTATTCCCATGTTATGTGGGAGGTGTGATATGCGTTGAAATGGGGTTGAACGCCGCGTTCAAGATTCGTGCACTTATATTGGGACGTGTGGCTGCTTGTACTAGTCCAGACTAATGTTGACTTTAAAGTACTGGTCCACTGAGATACCATGCCGCAGTTTAACATGAATACGCCACTCAGACACAGTATACTGACTCCGAGCCGACAAGCAAATGTTTTAGCCCCTTAATGCCGAGCACTAGTCAAGGTAACCACAAGTACCATTTTTAACGTCTTTTGGCTTGAAGCGCCCGGGAAATCGAAGCCCTGACATTCTGCTCTCCGGGCAGACGCTCCACCACTAGACCAGGAAGGCGGTTCTGTGGGAGGTGCTACATTGAAGGGTTGTCAATGTAATATTCATGAAGCTTTCAACCACTTTACCAAGTGCGGTTCTGGTTTGTGACTAGTTATACGGGAGGAATAGGGTGGAGCCGGAGGAGTACACATGCCCACGGTGTTCATGCTATTCCATTATTCGATGATAATAACGGTTTAGTGGTTTGACGGTATAGTGGTGTAACGGTATAATGACATAACGGTATAGTTGTTTCATGGTATAGTGGTGTAATGATATAATGACATAACGGTATAGTGGTGTAATGGTATAATGACATAACAGTATAGTGGTGTAATGGTATAATGACATAACGGTATAGTGGTGTAATGGTATAATGGCATAACGGTATAGTGGTTTGATGGTAAAGTGGTGTAATGGTAAAATGACATAACGGTATAGTGGTTTCATGGTATAATGACATAACGGTATAGTGGTGTAATGGTATAATGACATAACGGTATAGTGGTGTAATAGTATAATGACATAACGGTATATTGGTGTAATAGTATAATGACATAACGGTATAGTGGTGTCATGGTATAATGACATAACGGTTTAGTGGTGTAATGGTTTAATGACATAACGGTATAGTGGTGTAATGGTATAATGACATAACGGTATAGTGGCTTGATGGTATAGTGGTGTAATGGTATAATGACATAACGGTATTGTGGTTTCATGGTATAACTATAATGGTATAGTGGTTTGATGGTATAGAAGTGTAATGGTTTAATGACATAGCGGTATAGTGGTTTGATTGTATAGTGGTGTAATGACACAACGGTATAGTTGTTTGATGGTATAGTGGTGTAATGGTATAATGACATAACGGTATAGTGGTTTCATGGTATAACTATAATGGTATAGTGGTTTGATGGTATAGAAGTGTAATGGTTTAATGACATAGCGGTATAGTGGTTTGATTGTATAGTGGTGTAATGACACAACGGTATAGTTGTTTGATGGTATAGTGGAGTAATGGTATAATGACATAACGGTATAATGGTTTGATGGTATAGTGATGTAATGGTATAATGGCATAACGGTATAATGGTTTCATGGAATAGTGGTGTAATGGTTTAATGATATAACGGTATAGCGGTTTGATGGTATAGTGGTGTAATGGTTTAATGACATAACTGTAAAGTGGTTTGATGGTATAGTGATGTAATGGTATCAAGACATAACGGTATAATGGTTTGATGGTGTAGTGGTGTAATAATACAATGACATAACGGTGTGGTTTGGTGGTATAGTGGTGTAATGGTATAATGACATAACGGTACAGTGGTTTAATGGTATAGTGGTGAAATGGTTTAATGACATAACCGTAAAGTGGTTTGATGGTATAGTGGTGTAATGGTATCAAGACATAACGGTATAATGGTTTGATGGTATAGTGGTGTAATGATACAATGACATAACGGTACAGTGGTTTGATGGTATAGTGGTATAGTGGTATAATGACATAACGGTATAGTGGTGTAATGGTATAATGACTTACGGTACAGTGGTTTGATGGTATAGTGGTATAGTGGTATAATGACATAACGGTTTAGTGGTGTAATGGTATAATGACATAACGGTATAGTGGTGTAATGGTATAATGACATAACGGTATAGTGGTGTAATGATACAATGACATAACGGTACAGTGGTTTGATCGTATAGTGGTGTAATGGTATAATGACATAACGGTATAGTGGTTTCATGGTATAACTATAATGGTATAGTGGTTTGATGGTATAACTATAATGGTATAGTGGTTTGATGGTATAGTGGTGTAATGATATAATGACATAACGGTATAGTGGCTTGATGGTATAGTGGTGTAATGGTACAATGACATAACGGTATAGTGGTGTAAAGATACAATGACATTACGGTACAGTGGTTTGATGGTATAACTATAATGGTATAGTGGTTTGATGGTATAGTGGTGTAATGATATAATGACATAACGGTATAGTGGCTTGATGGTATAGTGGTGTAATGGTACAATGACATAACGGTATAGTGGTGTAATGATACAATGACATTATGGTACAGTGGTTTGATGGTATAGTGGTGTAATGGTATAATGACATAACGGTATAGTGGTTTCATGGTATAACTATAATGGTATAGTGGTTTGATGGTATAGTGGTGTAATGATATAATGACATAACGGTATAGTGGTTTGATGGTATAGTGGTGTAATGACATAACGGTATAGTTGTTTGATGGTATAGTGGTGTAATGACATAACGGTATAGTGGTTTGATGGTATAGTGGTGTAATGGTATAATGACATAACGGTATAATGGTTTCATGGTATAACTATAATGGTTTAGTGGTTTGATGGTATAGTGGTGTAATGATATAATGACATAACGGTATAGTGGTTTGATGGTATAGTGGTGTAATGGTATAATGACATAACGGTATAGTGGTTTCATGGTATAACTATAATGGTATAGTGGTTTGATGGTATAGTGGTGTAATGATATAATGACATAACGGTATAGTGGCTTGATGGTATAGTGGTGTTATGGTACAATGACATAACGGTATAGGGGTTTCATGGTATAACTATAATGGTATAGTGGTTTGATGGTATAGTAGTGTAATGATTTAATGACATAACGGTATAGTGGTTTGATGGTATAGTGGTGTAATGACATAACGGTATAGTTGTTTGATGGTATAGTGGTGTAATGACATAACGGTATAGTGGTTTGATGGTATAGTGGTGTAATGGTATAATGACATAACGGTATAATGGTTTGATGGTATAGTGGTGTAATGGTATAATGACATAACATTATAGCTGTTTGATGGTATAGTGGTGTTAGGGTATAATGACATAACGGTATAGTGGTGTAATGGCATAATGACATAATGGTACAGTTGTTTGATGGTGTAATGGTATATGATATAACGGTATAGTGGTTTGATGATATAGTGGTGTTATTGCAAAATGGCATAACGGTATAGTGGTATGATGGTATAGTGGTGTTATGGTATATTGACATAACATTATAGCTGTTTGATGGTATAGTGGTTTTATGTTATAATGACAAAACGGTATAGTAGTGAAATGGTATAATGACATAACGGTATAGTGGTGTAATGGCATAATGACATAACGGTACGGTGTTTTGATGATGTAATGGTATATGATATAACGGTATAGTGGTTTGATGATATAGTGGTGTTATTGTAAAATGGCATAACGGTATAGTGGTATGATGGTATAGTGGTGTTATGGTATAATGACATAACGGTATAGTGGTGTAATGATACAATGACATAACGGTACAGTGGTTTGATCGTATAGTGGTGTAATGGTATAATGACATAACGGTATAGTGGTTTCATGGTATAACTATAATGGTATAGTGGTTTGATGGTATAGTGGTGTAATGATATAATGACATAACGGTATAGTGGCTTGATGGTATAGTGGTGTTATGGTACAATGACATAACGGTATAGGGGTTTCATGGTATAACTATAATGGTATAGTGGTTTGATGGTATAGTAGTGTAATGATTTAATGACATAACGGTATAGTGGTTTGATGGTATAGTGGTGTAATGACATAACGGTATAGTTGTTTGATGGTATAGTGGTGTAATGACATAACGGTATAGTGGTTTGATGGTATAGTGGTGTAATGGTATAATGACATAACGGTATAATGGTTTGATGGTATAGTGGTGTAATGGTATAATGACATAACATTATAGCTGTTTGATGGTATAGTGGTGTTAGGGTATAATGACATAACGGTATAGTGGTGTAATGGCATAATGACATAATGGTACAGTTGTTTGATGGTGTAATGGTATATGATATAACGGTATAGTGGTTTGATGATATAGTGGTGTTATTGCAAAATGGCATAACGGTATAGTGGTATGATGGTATAGTGGTGTTATGGTATATTGACATAACATGATAGCTGTTTGATGGTATAGTGGTTTTATGGTATAATGACAAAACGGTATAGTAGTGAAATGGTATAATGACATAACGGTATAGTGGTGTAATGGCATAATGACATAACGGTACGGTGTTTTGATGATGTAATGGTATATGATATAACGGTATAGTGGTTTGATGATATAGTGGTGTTATTGTAAAATGGCATAACGGTATAGTGGTATGATGGTATAGTGGTGTTATGGTATAATGACAAAATGGTATGGTGGTGTCATGGTATAATGACATAACGGCTAAGTGGTGTAATGGTATAATGACAAAACGGTATAGTGGTATGATGGTATAGTGGTGTTATGGTATAATGACAAAACGGTATAGTGGTTTGATGGTATAATGACATAACGGTATAGTGGTTTGATGGTATAATGACATAACGGTGGAGTGGTTTGATGGTATAGTGGTAAATGGTATAATGACAAATCGGTATAGTGGTGTAATGGTATAATGACATAACGGTATAGTGGTGTAATGGTATAATGACATTATGGTATAGTGGTGTAATAGTATAATGACAAATCGGTATAGTGGTGTAATGGTATAATGACATAACGGTATATTGGTTTGATGGAATAATGCTGTAATGGTAGAATTATATAAGGGCATAGTGGTTAAGTGGTATAATGATAATGGAGAAATAAACGACAAGTAGTAGTTGTTTATCGTACAGTAAACAACTGCAGGGAGAAGAGGGGCGCAATGTTTTATTGTACGATAAATACGAGTCGTTTGTTTCTTATATTAAATATCAACATAATGCACAGCCTGTTAAAGGATAATGATAAAATGTACAAGCTTTCACAATATTTACCCGTATTATATTAATGATGACTCCTTGAACAGAATCCGACCTCAGCAATGATGGACAAGTCCCTTTTATGGTTGGTTGGTTGGTTTGTTGTGTAACGCCGCACTCAGCAATATTCCAGATATATGACGGCGGTCTGTAAATAATCGAGTCTAGACAAGACAATCCAGTGATTAATATCATTAGCATCGATCCACGCAATTGGGCGTGCCTGACCACCTGATCCCGTTAGTCGCCTTTTACGTCCATTTTATGAACAGGTGGGTTTGGTATTGGTATTTCCCGCATATTCTCATAATCCTCACGTCGATTATCTTTTCTCCCAATATCGATTTTTAAAATTCTCCCAAAGTTTTATGCAATCGTTCCGTCACTGCGTTTATCTGCGTATCCCAGCTACATCTATGGGGAACAACATACTAGACACTCCCCTCTCAAAAATAACGTCGTCAAATAAACAACGCTGCGAATATCCCGAAATGACGTCATAATCGTGAAATAAACCATGCTTCGTTATTCATTGTTCTTTGCGATCGTAGCCATCTTATATAGTCACATACTAATATAGTGCTATAGTGGTATAATACGGTAATGGTATAGTGCTATATTGGTATAATGGCATAATGGTATAAAGGTGTAATAGTATTACGGTATAATCGTATAACACTATAACTGTATAACGGTATAATGGTATACTGGTTTTGTGGTATAATATTATAATGATATAGTGTTAGAATAGTAAACTGATAGTGGTGTAATGGTGATATCATATGACAATATAGTGGTACAATGGTATAACGGTATAACGGTATAGTGGTATAATGTTATATTTTCAACATTTCCTTTATAAGGCAAGATTTGGCTTTCTACAATGATCCCCATGATGATTTTTCTAAAAAGTAGTCTACATAGTTACGATTCTATTCGCAATATTACCAGTAAACAGTGAGATAGAGTGTGAGAGCGATATGTTCCATTATCTTCCTCGAAATCGTCAAATGATATATGACATATATATTCCTAGATACCTGTGACACAATTCTATATATTGCTCTGGCTTTTCTGCAAAAATATCATAATGCAATAATGATTTAACCCAGTATTGAATCGTGGTATCACACTTTATATGCTGGATAAATGACGATACACGACAATGTAACAATGTTTTTCCCAATTATTACCTGTTAAGTTGTGATAAGTACTGATACACTCTCCTTAAACCACAACTTGAGATGACGATATTCCATTTATATGATGGTTTGGCAAATGATATTCCCTGTATTTATGATGCAAAACCTCAAGAACATCTCTTTCATAACATGTGTACACGTTACCCGTGAAAGAATAAGTGATAGTAGACGCGTACTCTTTGGAAATGGTGTGTAAAACACCCAAATCGGCTATTCTTGTTTGTGACGCATAAGTTGAAAGCTATTTATACATCTTAGATTTCATACACTGTGAAATAGGTTTTGTCAACGTGAGAACTAACCAGAATGACCAGTTACTGCAGCAGTGCTAGAATGAATAAAGAAACAGTACAAAAAGGCATCATTCCATATTTTTGGTTTCATAGTGGCACCAGAACCCGAGTCGCCATGGCTATCCAGACCCAAACTATCTCAACGACCATGCCCTCCAATCAAAGATGTTCGGGTACTATATGGAGCAACTGCAAGGATATGGGAGTGGCATCAACAACATGGTTTGGGTTATAAACGGTATAACTCATATTTTCATGTATATAGTATCAATGCTTGCCTGAAGAATAATACAGACATGTCAATAGTATGTACGTCAGTATAACGGATGTTTAGTAGGGGGAATTGGTGTCTCATATGCTCCCATTAACCTGGCCATGATATAACGATTGTGGCTTCGATACTTCAACATTCAACATCAAGCTGGCATAATGCACCACTGTATAGTGCAAGTACACACATGTCTGTAATACAACCATGTGAATATTGTAAAGGTTGAATAGTGCATAATATAATGTTGGTCTATACAGGTATGACCTGGCCTGGCATAATGCACCACCGTATAGTGCAAGTACACCCATGTCAGTAATACAACCATGTGAATATTGTACAGGTTGAATAGTGCATAATATAATGTTGGTCTATACAGGTATGACCTGGCCTGGCATAATGCACCACTGTATAGTGCAAGTACACCCATGTCAGTAATACAACCATGTGAATATTGTAAAGGTTGAATAGTGCATAATATAATGTTGGTCTATACAGGTATGACCTGGCCTGGCATAATGCACCACCGTATAGTGCAAGTACACCCATGTCAGTAATACAACCATGTGAATATTGTACAGGTTGAATAGTGCATAATATAATGTTGGTCTATACAGGTATGACCTGGCCTGGCATAATGCACCACTGTATAGTGCAAGTACACCCATGTCAGTAATACAACCACGTGAATATTGTAAAGGTTGAATAGTGCATAATATAATGTTGGTCTATACAGGTATGACCTGGCCTGGCATAATGCACCACCGTATAGTCCAAGTACACCCATGTCAGTAATACAACCACGTAAATATTGTACAGGTTGAATAGTGCATAATATAATGTTGGTCTATACAGGTATGACCTGGCCTGGATGGATGGATAAGTCCCACCACCAGGGCAAATTCCCCAACAACGTAGATGCTGCTGGCGAATTTGTGTCACTGATGGTCCAAAGTGCTAAAGATAAAACCGGTGGACACATACCGCACATATTTGAAGTCATCAACGAACCTGAGGTTCACAACATTGGCGACCAAACAATTATTGATTTCCACAGGGTTGTCGCTCAAAAGCTAAAGTCCAGGTTCGGAACGAAAGTGGCAGGACCAACATACACTGGCTATAGCATTGTTAAGTCTGATGCTAACAACTTCAGCATTTGGAAGAGAACAGCAAAGTTTCTGGACATGTCTCTTGATCACTTGGACTTCTTCTCTTTCCACGTCTACAACCATCTGTATGTGACTGGTGGAAGTCATCACCACAGTGGCGCAAACGAGGTTCGTCTCGTCGCTGCTATCGACATGATAGAAAATTACTCTCATCTCAAGAAAGGAAAAAACGTGCCTTTAATTGTAAGTGAATTCGGCAGAGGTGGTGTGCATGGCCTGGACCAGTGGAAACCTAATAGTCTCATAGACTTTGAAACAGTTTACCAACCAAACGGGTTCATGTTTACCTTCCTCAATCTGAGAGAATTTATGGAACGAGTCATTGTGTTTATGCTCTCCAATGAACAATACCCAGGCCACACTAGCCTCAACTGGTCACTATTTACCAACGATGGACGTGAGACTACCATGGCAACATTCTTCAAATTTTGGCACAACTTTTATTATGATCAGAAGTTTCTCAAGTTTTCCAGCCAGTACACAGGTTGGGAGAGATCAGTTGCACCATTAGCCTTGGCTAACCCTCACAACAAAGAGTTGGTGGTTCTTCTGCACAACTATGGAACTGCCTGGCAGAATGTAAAGTTAGACTTCCACGGTGGATGGATCAATCCTACAGTTGGCGAATCAACATGTATCCAGTACCAAAACGGAAAAACACAAATGCATTCCAATGTCCACTTTGACACAACAAAGTACAACGGACATGTTGGTCTGCCGGGAGAGTCGACGTGTTTCTACAAGTTTAAAACAAACTACAACTTTGATGGTGTACGCACCAACAACGAAAACACATACTATGGCACCGATATGGTCATCCCCATCAGCAACGGACATGCACAGACCACCATCCATCTACCCAGCTCAGGCTACCATACATCACATCTTAGAATAGGCGTTAGCCGTGACAAAAACGCCAATGGAAAACCCCACAGTGTCGTGTTCAATGGGTATACCCTGCCTTCAGCCCTAACGTTGTACGACGCTGAAAAGGGCCAGTCATCAACGAAATGGGAGGTATGGGAGTACTTGGTACCAACTGATCACGTTAAATCTACTAACACCATCAGCATGACCTTTGATGGAAATGGCGGTCACGTGTCTTCAGTAGCGTTGGTCGTCGGAAAACTTCAATAAATTATTATATTTCACATTTCGTTGTATATTTTTGTTTGCATGCTCTCCCTTGGTGTAATAATTATTCTGTTTGAAATGAAATTATTTTGATAATGCTTGAAAAGGTAATAAAACAACAAAAGGAAATAACTTAAAATTTTCAAAATTGTCAGATATGTTAGGAAAAGTTGTAAGATTATATAAAACAATTGGGAACACGATTGTTTCTAATCTTCTGGTCAGTAAGTTGAACTCCGGTGGCATTGCACAAGTTAACAGCGATTTGATTGGCTGTGTGGGGTCGATTTTGTAAAGCCTGGTTTCTGATTTATCGTTCATGGCATCGGCTTGGTACTCATTGAACTTCCTCCTTCTTCGCCAGATTTTACACCGACAAATACCCACTTCTTCCCAAACTTGAAGAAGGAGTGAGTGAGTGAGTTGGGTTTAACGCCGTTTTTAAGATTATTCCAGTCATATCGCGGCGTGTCAGCTTAATGTGGGAGGAAAGTGATGCAGGTCTCAGACGTTTACCACTTCGGTGAAACCCACGAGCAAGGGTATAGTGCTGACAAACCTAGAAACATAATTGGGGCGAACCGGGATTCGAACCCACAATCATAGGTTTCTGGCGTTCCCAAGGTACGCAACTCTGCACAGCGAATAGCGAAGGCTGGTCATAGAACATATATTCCATGGTCCCTTAATTACAGTTTAGACTTAGTAATTAGATTTAATTAGTTTACTATGTCATCATATCCACATTGCTTTGATGAATACAATCATATGACCAGTCACACCAAGGAATCTATCTGATCTATGCCAAAATAGATTTGCATGGTAGCATATAACATATAGCATACATAAAATATATCTTCACATTATTCCTATGGAAGTGTGCTTAGTGACTAAAAACCTATTTTCGTGTTCCATTGTTCCTTATCTAGAGTTATGATCAAATCATCAATAATATCAACTAAAACCAACAAAATGTGAAACATTATCATTAATTGAAGTGTTCCTACAACCAGCGCTACTGACGACACATGACCGACATTTCAATCAAGTGTCATGCTGATGGTGTTAGTTGATTGGACGCGATCATTTGGTACCCAGTACTCCCATACCTCCCATTTGGTGGATGCCTGGACTTTGTCAGAGTCGAACAATGTGTAGGTTGAAGGTAGGGTGTATCCATTGAAGACAACACTATGTGGTTTTCCATTGGCGTTTTTGTCACGGCTAACACCAACTCTAAGATGTGATGTATGGTAGCCTGAGCTGGGTAAATGGATGGTGGTATGCGCATGTCCATTGTTGATAGGAATGATCATGTCTTTGCCATAGTATGTGTTTTTCATTATTCGTACGTACACCATCAAAGTCGTAGTTTGTTTTAAACTTGTTGAAACACGTTGACCCTCCCGGGAAACCAAGATTTCCATTGTGGTATCTATTTGTCAAGTGCTGACGGGATACGTTCAAGAAAACCCCGATCGCGAGGTTTCTTTACGTTTCCAACATAAATCATTGGAGTCAAGTACGGAGCTCGAGCCTAATTAAAAACATTCAAAGGTGACAAATACTGGACATCAATTACGGCAATTGACATTCCTGCTGCCATATGTGTTCATTCATTGTAATGCCTTGTATGATTGTACACCTAAGACTATGCATTTTGATATAATTTGTTGACTGTGTGGTTATTGACCGATTTCACAAAATAGTTTTGTACATACCGATTTCTGAATCGGATCGAATGTAATGAAAGCTTTAAGAATATGTATATTATATTTGTTTGTAATTGCTATATGTGTGTAATGTTGGTGGTGAGTGTCGTTGCACAGCAAATGATTGAACTACTGGTGAGGAATGCTATCATCAATGGTGGTGACTGGAGCTTTCCAGTTATCTGCCCTTGTTGTGTACATGAGCAAGGCAGCCTTGATCGTTGTTGAAGTTTCGAGATGGGACAGTTCTCCAAACGTCTGTATAAGCGCGAGATAGAAGCGATTCGAGGCCCTTCAGGACGTGAAGTGTATCTAATGTACTGGCCAAGTGCAGTTTTGATACTCATTTGGAAACGCCGAATTCCTGTAAGCCTCTAATACTATTCTGGATTGAAAAAAAGAAACAGGCATCTTTCAAGACAGTCAACAGAAACATTCCTTGGTTCTGAACACTTATGAGTGCTCTTCAATTAACCCTATGGCCTGTTGCTAATTTCGACTGTCACTTATTTGAAACATTGTATTGCCTTTCAGGCTTAAAACCTAAAAATGTGTGTTCAAAGAAATCGATTGTTTATTCATTGATCTTGTGTGCTTGTTTACTGATTTCACACGTAAAAGGCGTCTAACGGGATCGGGTGGTCAGGCTCGCTGACTTGGTTGATGCATGTCATCGATCCCAATTGCGTGGATCGATGCTCATGATATTAATCACTGGATTGTCTGGTCCAGACTCAATTATTTACAGACCGCCGTCATATAGCTGGATAATTTCTGAGTGCGGCGTTAAACAACAAAGCAACCAACCAACCAACTGATTTCACAATTTAGTTCTGTGTGTACTGATTTCTGGAATTCAACTTGAAAATGACCTCGTAACACTTATCATGGAACTGGTTAACTGCTATCTGGTATGTCTGACATCTTTCTGACCACGAAACATAGATAACATGTACACTCAGTAAACACACACCTTGTGGGTATTCCCAGGAAAAAAATAGTTCTCCAGCAACCTAGTTGACTAAAAAGGAAACGATGTAACCTGGCTGTAGGACGTCAACCGTCATTGTTTATGATGTCGGGTACTGGTTTATCTGCCCCAGACTAGATTATTTCCAAGGAACCATTGAGAGTTACCGCATTCCACTTACCTTTCACAATTGCCATGGAAACGACTTTAAAATGGATTAGGGGCGGTCAGGTAGCCTAGTGGTTAAAGCGTTCGCTCGTCACGCCGAAGGCCCGGGTTCGAATCCCGACATGGGTACAATGTGTGAAGCCCATTTCTGGTGCCCCCCGCCGTGATATTGCTGGAATATTGCTAAAAGCGGCGTAAAACCTAACTCACTCACTCACTCACTTAATTATGGATAATGGATTATTGTTTTATCACCTGGCTTTCGAGTTTCAACAAGAGACAAAAATTCCATGAAATTCTAAATGCATTACAGCCATTAATACAATTCACCATGGAAATGAACAAAAGTGAAATTATGTTTAAATATGTGAGTGTTATCAAAGATGGTATTTAACTTAAGACTGTTATGTTTTAAAAGCCTACAGACACTCATTTGTATCTACAGTTTCAATCATCTCATCCTCGCCACACAAAGATGAACACTCCCTGTTGTATTGCGAGAAGAAAATGCTGCATTGTTTCAGAGATAGAAGCACGTGATTAACGACTGTCGAAACGAACATACTACCTAAAATGCAAGGATACCCTTGAAAACTAATAATATATGACATTGCAAAATTGATAGAAACGAAAACGAAATCGCAGACCCAGAACAACAGGACTATCCCGTTTGTGGCTATCTATTTCCCTACAAATTGCAATTTAATGTATGTTGTGCTTTCTTGTATTTTAGTAGTAGCAAGGCAAAAGATTATATGTTGTTTTATTAAGTTTAAAGTAATATGTGTAATGTAGCACAAGGTTGACACAGAATTTAAACGGATTTTGTGAAAAAAAGAATCGACTGCTACCGTTTTCATTCCTAAATGGAAGAAAAGTTAATGTTAAAAGTAATATGACATATAGCAGTAGAAATGTTATAGAATGTACTGGTTGTGGTGTCAGTTACATTGGCGAAACAGGACTGAAAGATTGTGCTGATGTACACAAACAACAGATAAGAAATCAAAATGAGTGAAAACAAGATGTGAAACCGAATTCCCCGTCTCTGCATGGTCTTGGGAATACAGTTGAGCCAATATTTGACGAATTTTGTGATTGTGGTTTCTGGTGTCCATTGTTGGTATGTATGGACCAGACATAACTGTTTAGATTCCATATTGCTCAATCGAGGGTATACAGGCCATCACTGTCCAGGACTCTATCAGATTGAGGGAAGTAAACACGAAAGCATGAAAGTGATGCCATTTTGGTGGGTAAGTAGTTCCAAATGTATGAGACTATTGTGAGCATCCTGCTCATATCAACGTAAATCACCCCTTCCGAATACAGTGACAACTGAACGTTTCTTCTTGTCTTGTGATGATAGTAATGTTCTTCATGTCGACATCATCAATCAGTCGAGTTTTGTTAATGCTACTGACGCGATGACTCTCATCAGAGACATAAAGCACCACAGGCATGGAAGGAGAAGAGGGTGTAGACACATGCCCAGACATTTAGCTGTTGTCCTCCACGCAAAAATTGTGAGCTTCAGATGTACGGAAAGAAGTTTGATAACTCAGGCCCATTGATGACTTACAAAATGTGAGGAATATGGGCCCCGGAGTAGTCTTTAGCACAGATTCTCTGGCATCATCAAGGTTGTTGAACCATTTCTTTTTATAAAACCACCCGATAGGCAAGTTTACAAACGGAGGATATCTTACATACTTTGCTACATAACGTCTCCGATTCCTAGATTATTAAGAGCAAACGTCAACATCTTTAATCTTCAAAACTCGTAGCCGAGTCTGTAGCCTAGTGGATAAAGCATCTGTCCAGAGAGCAGAAGGTCAGTGGTTGGATCCTCTGATGGCTTCATAGTAAAATGTTTTAACAAAGCTGGTGGTACTTGTCGGTCGGAGTGAGAAGACTGTGCCTGAGTGGGGTACCAATGTTAAACTGCGCCATTGTATTTCAGTGGGCTAGCAATATAAAACCAACATGTCTTAAAATTAGAGCTTCGCTATGTAAGTGCGATGACCTTGAAAGTTACGTCAAAATCAGTTTCACCTCAAACCTCGTGAAGAATGACTAAAAGGGTGTACTGTCAAGTTCAATACCATCACCATAGCTTCAGTTTGCTGCTACTATATCACAAACTGTGTCGTCATGTCTACTTCAATGAAAAATGAATAAAATATTGCAGTATTTTTTTTTTTTAAAACACATGAAGTTCTGATACTCATTTCTTATCTTCAAAATGAAAGTACAAATAGCAAAATATAACAAGCTCCTCTTCTATGTGTATGTTGTTAAATTTGAAAGGTTTCATTCGTGGATAGATTGTGTAGAAAGAGACATTGACCACTGACATTTCTCTTTTTGACCAGAACAAGTTTACAGATATGATAGCACATTAAAACCTACCCGTACAAATTATTACACAGACTGGGACACAAATGCATCCACGAGAATCACTGTCAAAAGTATTATGCATAATTGTAGTCATGTCAGATATTTGAAGAATACTTCCTGAACCTCATCCAATATATTTGCTGCAGGGAAAGTAATGTAACCAGCTATATGATTTCTGTATGGATTAATTACTTGTCACCCGTGGCTTATCAAGTGTGTTTTAGGACTTCGAAAACTAAACACAAGATAAAACTTCACCTTGTTCTGTACCATGTGCTTGCTTCACATACAGATTACAATCACAATATAAACCGTACCATACCTGTATTTCTCCACATTTTTTCCGACACAACATAATGATACTGCTATCGGTCTTCTTAAGTTCCTTGCTATGGAGTGGAGTGTTTCTGGACACAACTGTCACCATCTACAACGAGTGGCTCTCCCAGGGTGGACGGGTCCATTATGAATCTGACAGATGGACCAAACATAATGGGCTCGACCGATCGAACCTTATTCCATACTGTAAAGCTATTGGGACCCCGACAGGACGCTGGTTGAACAGAGATCTCAACGACCATCTCTTTGCAAATGTACGTACACAGTTACAAGGAAATCCACAACAAAGCATACAATAAACGCTGAGTGTATGTGTATATATTATACCACATAAATAGGATCATATTTCCACTACCTTAGTTACTCCATACATCAACGTTGCGTTTTTGTTCTTGTGAGAAAGGTGCATAAGGATAATGTACTTGAAGAATTAACCCAGGACATATAAGATTACAAAGAATTCAACCAAGGGAAGCAGATCAAATAATGAATAAAAGGCAAGTTGTTTGGTTGGTGCTCTCAGATATCTGATTAATTGTTTTCATATATTACCAGATTATTAGTTCACTAATGAAGTAATAAAACAAGAACATCGAATACGGTGAGCATATTGAAAGTAATTGCTTGTGACACTGAATGGCTGCATACGCTAGGTATAGTTTTATATGTACATGTTTCCAATCCAAAACGGTTTTTCACAAAAGATATATATCACTTGGATGAAATTAAGCGATAATGAAAGGATTCATCGCTTATTATAACGTCACACTTTAATTCCACTACTAATCTCTCCGCCACTGAAGATTTTAAGCTGTACATTTGTACACTTAAGACACTGGCCATCACTGATTACAAACTGCCAAAAAATGGCAAAATGATTTTGAATGATAAATCCAATCTCATTTTTTGATACTCTGATCGCCAAAGATGTTGACATATATGATATCAAAAGACACTCAGGTGTTTGCCTCGTGTGAAATAAAAGTCAAACTAGATGATGATGGTAGGGCAACGAACTCTGCTCATTTGGTCACTTACCCTGAGGGTGTGTTTTGGATACTTGAGTGAGTACGTTGGGGATCCTAGGTATATATCCGTTATGTCATGGAGTCATTTCTTTCGTGTAGGGGGGACAACTAAAGTAAGCGGATATGGTAAGGAAATAACTTTGCACAACGAATTCGGCTATGATAGGGCCATTGACCATCCTTAAAAGGATATAAGATTGTGATGTCCCACTCATCTCTAATGTTTATCCAAATTTTAATCCTATGGAAATCTTTACAAGAATGTTTTTCTATAATATTTTGTTTCAGGTAAACTTATACAAAATTGAACAGGTGCAACAAAACTAACTTGGAAAAAGTGAAAGTTTAGTTTCCTAATTATCTAGCTTTTTTTTAAAATAATTAAAAAAGTGTTTACAACTATATGCAAAGTTCCACCTTTATGAAATGCATGGTTGTCGAATGCGTAATCCAAGTTACAGGAGACATTACATTCTTTACTACCTTCTGGAAAATTGAAGCTAAGAAAATTTAAGATACATATGCAATAACATGATATACACTTGAAACATATGTTTGTTGTAAGTATAATTCAACGTACTTGTTTTCACAGTGGCACCAGGACCCAAACCGCCATGGCTATCCCGACCCCCACTATCTACAAAACCATGCCCTCCAATCAAAGATGTTCAGTTACTATATGGAACAAGTACACGGATATGGAACTGAAATTAACAACATCGTTTGGGAACTAAAAGGTATGTTTACTGTCATCTTGTCAACATAATATGTGTCACTGTATTTATTTTTCATCATTATTTTTACTGATTATATGGGAAATTACTACCGTGCAAGAGGCAATAACACTCAGGCACAGCAAGGGTTTCTGCTGATTTGCGTTCATCAGCCAAGACAGGATAACCTTTTTGTGGTTTGACACATTTAAATCATACAATGTGGTGTAATTGAAATAATCCTCAAAGTGATAGTAAATCCACTTCACACAATAACGCGTTTTGAATAAAAGCAACAAAACGTTTTCCATAGTCCTCAGAAATATGTGCTGAAGCAGAGTCAATTGTTCGATCCCGACTATATCATATGACGTCAGTGAATCACTATCAAATAGTGAGGATGCTAGGTGTTTGATAAAAAGGTGAACGTATCCTGCCCCTCAGGTGGAACCGTCACAAACACTTGCAAAGGCAAGTAAATTGCTCACATGAAAAAAACGGGAACATATGGTATACGTCAAAATAAGGAATTGAATCAGACATATTTCTGTCACTGATGCGTCAAAAAATAAACCATTTTGAAAGCTTTACTGAGGTCTTGAATGTTGTAACCTTGATCAAACAATTTGGATCCTCGTAATAACGTTATCGTCTGTGCAGATTTGAGCTGGCCTGACTGGATGGATAAGTCTCATCATGAAGGGAAATTCCCCAACAACCTAGATGCTGCCAGCGAATTTGTGTCACTGATGGTCCAAAGTGCTAAAGACTACACCGGAGGTCACATACCTCACATATTTGAAGTCATCAATGAACCAGAGGTAGCAAACTTCATTGGCCTGCAAACAATTATTGATTTCCACAAGGTTGTTGCTCAGAAGCTAAAGTCCAGGTTTGGAATGCAAGTGGGAGGACCAACATACACAAGTTATAGCATAATTAAATCAGATCTTTACAACTTTGGTATGTGGAAGAAAACAGCAAAGTTTCTGGACATGTCCCTTGATCATTTGGATTTTTTCTCTTTCCATGCCTACAACGATCTGTATGTCTCTGGTGGGAATTTTCGCTTCACTGGTATCAACGAAGCTCGTCTGGTTGCTGGTGTAGACATGATTGAAAATTACTCTCATCTTAAAAAAGGAAAAGAAGTTCCTTTAGTTATCAGTGAATATGGAAGAGGTGGCGTGACTGGACTAGACCTGTATCGTCACAACAGTATCATAGACTTTGCGACTACTTACCTACCAAGTGGTTTGATGTTTACTTTCCTCAACCTGAGGGAGTTTATGGACAGAACCGTAATCTTTATGCTCTCGAATGAGCAATATGGGACCCAAACTAGCCTTAACTGGTCTATATTTACCAAAGATGGACACGAAACTCCAATGGCAAAATTCTTCAAATTTTGGCACAGCTTCTATTATGATCAGAAGTTCCTCAAGGTCACAAGCCAGTTCACAGGAGGGGAAAGACATGTGTCACCATTAGCCTTGGCTAACCCTCACAACAAAGAGTTGGTGGTTCTTCTGCACAACTATGGCACTGCCTGGCAGAATGTGAAGCTGGACTTCCACGGTGGATGGATTAACCCTACAACTGGTGAATCAACATGTATCCAGTACCAAAACGGTAACACACAAATACATTCCAATGTCCACTTTGACACAACAAAGTACAATGGGAATCTTGGTCTCCCAGGACAGGCAACGTGTTTCTACAAGTTTAAAACAACCTACAACTTTGATGGTGTACGAACAAATAATGAAAACACATACTATGGCAAAGACATGATCATTCCTATCAATAATGGACATGCACAGACAACCATCCATTTGCCAAGCTCGGACTACCATACATCACATCTTAGAGTAGGCGTTAGCCGTGACAAAGACGCCAATGGAAAACCACATACTGTTGTCTTCAATGGATACACCCTACCTTCAACCTACACATTGTTCGACTCTGACAAAGTCCAGGCATCTACCAAATGGGAGGTGTGGGAGTACTGGGTACCAAATGATCGCGTCCAATCAACTAATACCATCAGCATGACCTTTGATGGAAATGGCGGTCACGTGTCGTCAGTAGCGCTGGTTGTAGGAAAACTTCAATAAATGATAATGTTTCACATTCTGTTGTGTTTTAATAGTGTAGTAGTTTGGTGATTTGTTTGTAAGTAGAAAACAAACAATGCTACAAGAACATAGTTTTAAAGCCAATATGCACACTTTCATAGAAATAATGTGATGACATATGTTACGTTACGTACTACTAAGCAACAACCATGTCTGCGGTCCAGATTGATTCATTTGCGTTATTGGCCATGTGATAGCACGTTTGATGCATTCATCAAAACCATGTGAACCTGATGACGTACTCATAACTGACGCCTCTTACGACTAGCATAGTCGCCTCTTATGACCAGCATCGCTCCACGTGCAAATGTCGCATATCGACGTTAAGCAGGGTCTTTGGGCTAACGGAAGATTGGGTCAACTCCGTGGCGCATTGAAGTCGTCAATGACTAAACTTACGGGAGGTTTTCAGGCTTCACGTAGCTCTCCTTATTCGTACAATGACGAAGTTCGCGGCTGTTATTGAAGGAAAACCCAGTGCCTCAGCTTTCATGTCACATGACATGTGTGGGTGTCGTCACCTTTTCCTACCCCGAGAGCCCAAGTCCCAGGAGAATGGAGCAAGAATTGATAACGAGTGGCTTTGATCAGTGGATGTTTTTAGCCCTCATATATATATAGGATGCAGACAATGTAGCCAAATACATGGCTTTCTTGATGATTGCACAAGGTTCGAAGTATGACTCTTTGTTAAACGTCCAGGGCAATTTGTTACAGACTGGAATGATTTCATGACTGATAGAGAAGAATTCAGCTAGCTTTGTTAACATCGCTTCTCTGTCAGACTCTGCGATAGCAAACAAGTAACACTTTCAATAGCAACGGACAAAGGCCAATAGTTTGATATATTGCATGTCAGTATGTGGTAAGACCCTTAAAGATCCGGGGTAGAATAGGTCTTCAGCAACACATGCTTGCCATAAAAGGCGACTATGCTTGTCGTAAAAGGCGACTCACGGGATCGGGTGGTCAGGCTCGCTGACCTGGTTGATGCATATCATCGATCCCAATTGCGTGGATCGATGCACATGATGTCAATCACTGGACTGTCTGGTCCAGACTCGATTATTTACATACCGCCGTCATATAGCTGGAATATTGCTGAGTGCGACGTTAAACAACAAACCAACCAACCAACAGTATGTGGGATACACACAAGTGGTTTGACACCCAGCCCCAAGGACGCCTATCCTCGTACTCTATTAGTACTAAGTGAGACACAACATGGACAAATCACACAAACACCGCCTACATATGTCTGCTAGCAAGCATACAAGTAGGTTAACAAAACACGCACGTGAGTGCCATACTCCCAACAAACAGGAAAACAGTGTATAACAGGGAAACTGTCCCTGAGCAGTCCTCACCACAGCTTCCCGACCCCCTTACGTTGCTCAAACAATTTCTTGTCAAAATCTACCATAAATGACAAGCTACTTTTTGCAATTGGTCCACCAATGTATGCAGATAATGTGCACAAACGTTTTTAAGATATGCCTTACTACTTGTGTACCAACATGTACCTTTCAAATATTTGTCCATAACAGCGTGGTCACTTTAGTGTCACTAACTTTTACACTTTCAAGGTGTGAAGGTAGAATCAAGGTCAGAATGCAAATCGAAAACAAACCAAACCCAGATGTCCTACCATCAATACATTATTATATAGAAGTCGTTTGTGAGCTAATGACCAGGAAATGTTCGCTTGTGACCTCTAAATATTTGCTGCTTGCCCGCCTGCCAATATTACCCCATATACGAGATAATACAGCCAAACTTAATAAGTCTGGAGTTCGCTTTAGAAGACAGTAAGACAACTTTTACTGAATGCGTGTTGTCCTTGTACTTTGTGTCCTTTCAGGGCCACGTATAAAAGTGTTTTGTTCTGACCGGGCACAGGTTACTATTTCGCAACCTACTGGCACTCTGTTTGAAGAAAAGGTTCAGGACAAACAAAATCTAAACTAGATAACATGGGCAACTCAATAGGGAGTCGTGTGAGACTGTGCTAAAATATGAATAAATCAATGAAAAAATACAAAGATTCAAACATTTGCTCCATAAACAATATTACATTTTAATTCACATTATGGAAGCAGTTCCTATCATCCACTCGTGTATGCTTTTCCGCCCTATTTGTCATAAATTGTGCCATAGGGCGATTTACGTACTTGTCAACAGTGCATTCTTGTTTTACACGGCAATGCTGTCCAAGTGTATTATCTCATCTGCCAGATGAACTTTTTTTATTTGTATTTTCCCATGCCATTTCTTTACATATTAAATGCTGGTATGTACAAAACTCTGAAACTATAAAACATGAGCCAAAAAAACATTGTCTGGAGGAATACAGTATTCCAAACCATAATTCAGGTTCAAAATTGTTCTGGTTGCCCAGCGGTTACTGCGCATGGACATTTTACGGGCGATTCGATCTTTGTTCCGAGCACAAAAAAACACATTTATACAATCCGACAACATCTCCTCACCGACAAATTATAGTTGGAATCCATACAATATTCCCTTTACAGCCAAGTTAGGATACTTTTTTTCCGCCCCTACCGGTTCCTTACAGCTTTAGTACAAGGCTTGCTGTACATACGCCAAATACAGGAGCAATTTTTACAGCAGATTAAAGAGTATTGTCATATAAAGGTGTAAATGCACGACACTCCATCCCACCTAATAATGTATTCTTTGATATTAATTAACCAAGTGCTGGCTGAAACAGCAGATGCCTTTGCCATGCGGGTGTAATCTTAATGTTCAGTTAACAATACACATACATGTTGATAACAGTAACAGTAATTCCAAAATTATGAGGGCGGTCGGGTAGCCTAGTGGTTAAAGCGTTCGCTCGTCACGCCGAAAACCCGGGTTGTGTGCTTTGATTTTTTTCGAGATGACATATGTTTCAGCTACAGCTACACAACAGGTTATTCTTTTATTTAAGATGTTGATCCTGAAATTGGTAAATGCAACAATGTAATTTTTGTGGCGGGCATAAAATCTCATGACCCTCCCAGAATATCCAATGCTAGGTCCCAAAACAGAAACACCTTTTATTTATTACTATTTACACACATCTTGGTAACACTACGCCAAGTACAGTCAGGCGTTATATTATTATATGTCTCAGTTTCAAGACATATTAAGAAAATATCATAAGCATAATCTAACATATTTGTGTCATCAAAAGACACAACTAGGGACCAACTGGCAGGTAACAGAAAAATGTGCATCTTAAATAACAGTGATGGCAAAACGCAGCCTTGTTAAATACCAAACTGTACATGGAACCAAGGTGTGAATAAACCGTTCCGTCCAACAAAACACTGAACATTTGTTTATATATATATACAACAGCATTAAACATTTTACCCACAGCATTGTCAGATGACAGTCTATGACCATGATTATGAACATGTTTCTTGGTAGATCGGCCTCTCCTGAAACCTTTCTGGATGTCCTCAATCAGCGAGTAAGACTCCAAACAACACTGAATCGGTTATGCAATACTCCACAGTAACGTTTGTAGCCAACACTAGCATGTGTGAGAGCAGATCAGTAATCAATCTGCGCCAGACAGTGATTGAAAGAATGAACGAGTAGGTTATACGCCGCTTTTAGTAATATTCCAGCAATATCACGGCGGGGGACACCGGAAATGGGCTTCACACATTGTATCCATGTGGATTCGAACCCGGGTCTTCGGCGGGCCGGGCGAACGTTTTAACCACTAGGCTACCCGACCACCCCGACAGTGATTGTCTCATATATGAGTGTTGATGTTGTGTCAGGGAGCAGAACGTCACCATATGTCAGACAGGCATTGTCTCACGTGAGTCGATACCCTGTCAGAGTGTTACCCTGTCTGGCGCTCGGCATTAAGGGGTTAAAACAAGGACTGGTCGGCTCGGAGTCAGTATACTGTGTCTGAGTGGGGTATTCATGTTAAACTGCGGCATGGTATCTCAGTGTGCTAGCACTATAAATCGGCATCAGTCCGGACTAGTACAAGCAGCCACACACACACATACACGTGCATGCAAGTCGCTATATAAGTGCAATAATCTTGGACGCGACGTTAAACCCCATTTCACCTCACCTCACCCTGTCAGAGAGCAGATCATCAATCTGTGTCTAACCAATATGTACAATCATCCTTTACTTCAAAGAATTATTGCTATTCTACGAGTGTGCATGACAACATGTCAATAAAAGAAATGAACATGCAATCACAATCGCACACCTTGGTAGGTTACATGCACGCTGTGCATTGACTTCTTGTGACATGTAAATTTGATACATCAGTTTCAATAATGATGTCCGATGCAATTCCCTATTTTGGCTTGTTCCGTATGCTCCCGTGTGTTTTCAGGTGAACAATTGACTTGTCTTTGCATGTGTTTGTGACGAGTAGAACTGGTGGGGCAGGATACGCCCACCTTTCGCAAACACCTGGCATCATCACTATCTGAAAGTGATTCATAAACACATACTCATGAGATAGTCGGAATCGTACAATCGACTCTGTTTGGGGCAGATATTTCTTATGAATACGGAATGGGTTCTGTCGCTTTTAGCTACACAATGTGTATTACAGTTGTTTAGTACCCAACACTGGTATCTTCATCAGGCTATGGTCTATGTAAATTCATGTGCTTCTAATTGTAAAAAAGTCAGTGAAACCTAAATTTACATGTACTTTAATTATGCTAGAAAAGTATCAGATTTGAAAGTACTTTCTCTTTTACCAAAATACCACTTACACTGTAAAAGCCTTTAATTAGGCTGCGTCAAGGCAATAACAGTCCGTCAATCTAACAATCATAATAATAATTCAAAAGCATGTTATCATATCTACACACATCGAAATTTTTGCCTGTGCCCTAATATTGGTTTGGTGACGTGTTTTCACAAGCCATTAGTGTGGATATCAATCCTTCAAGCCGCTAATTGGCTAACGTTGAATATTGCAGAAAGTGCCGAG